GTAGATCCAGATTTCTGTCTGGTATCATTTTCCTTATATTTGAAAAACATTTTTAACCATTTCTCACAGCACAGATCTGCTAGTGATGAATTCCCTACGCTTTTATTTTGCCTTCAACTTGGGAAGATACTTCTGGATGAGAAATTCGTGGCTGACACTGGTTCTCTCAGTGAGTCAGCACCGTCTCCCCACTGTCAGTGTCCTGTGTGGCTCTGAGTCCACTGGTGTTCGTATCTCATTCCTTTGAACATGATGTCTTTTTTGCTGTTTTGATTATGATGTGCCTTGGCCTAATTTTCCTTATGTTTATTCTGGTTGGGGCTTTCTGATCTATGGGTTTATAGTTTACATTAAATTAGGAAATCTTTCAGCTGTTGCCTTTCACATATTTTTTCTGTGTTCCCTTGATGAGACTAAGCGCATTTAGGGTTGCTGGATATCTCCCCATGAGCCACTGAACAGTGTATTAATATTTTTCAGTTTTTCTCCTGTTTCATTTCGAATATTTTTATTACCACGTCTACTAACATTGATCTTTACCTCTGCAGCGGCTGCTCTGCTCTTAGTCCTGACCCGTGTGAGCCCCAGTTGGTCTCTGTCATCGTGATGTTTCCTCCACCTCCCTGAGCGTCTGGAGTGTGTTCACGGGAGTGTTGATTCAACAGCCTTGTCTTCTGTTCCTGTCATGTTCTCAGCCATTTTGGAATCTCTCTGTGTTGATTTTTCTCTTGGGAATGGATCAGTTGTCTGGAATCTTTGCACTCCTTCTAGTAGTTTTTTTGATGGAGCTGGATATTGTGAATTTTACATTGTCAGTTGATGGGTTTTGTTATATTCCTTTAAATATTTTAGTTTTTTTTTTCCTGGTATTTAGGGAAGTTTGATCCTTTTGGAACTCTGGCCCCGAGCAGCCTTTATTCTAGGAATGATTTTGCCCCACAAGGAGGGCAGAGTCCTTTTTGAGGATTTTACCCAGTGCCCTGTATGTTATGAGAACTTGCCATGCTGGCTGGGGGGATGCAAACCTTACCAGCCCTTTATGTGTGTGTGCTGATTGGTGGGCTCCGTCTGTTGACTCTGATAACTTCCTCTCACATACATGCAGACAAGTACTCAGACAAAGACGGGGGCTCTGCAGACCTCCGGACCTCTCTGTACAACCCCACTAACATTTGCCCCACCATTTATAGTTACATTTGTTCCCTCACACTTGGCCTTCTCCACCTCTGCAAGGTGGCTGGATTAGTTTGCATCCCCTTTCTATGCTGTGGGGATGCAGGTGGTACCGCAGGGCGCGCTGCTGCCACCGGGGGCCGCCTCACTTGCTCTTCTGCAGGCTGGCCGTCCTATGCTGCCTGTTTTCAGCGTGTGAAAGCTACCGTTCCTTACCTTTTGTGCAGCTTAAGACTAAAACAGAATTCAGACCTTCTTTTTTCGCCCACAATCTTTATTTTTTTCTAATAGAAAAATGACTCCTGGAGGGTAACATGGTAAACCTTTAAAAAATTACACTCTCAATGAAATTTAAGCTTTCTGATAAATAATTTTTAGTATCCTAAATATTATATTACAAGTATCAATGGTGGATAATATAGTAAGCATTCTGAATTATAGATTCACAGACCGGGAAAGAAACTATAGCATCAAACCAAAAAATTATAACATGTTCCTCCAACATCACTCCAACAACACAGCAGCCCCGGGACGTGGGTGTCTCTTTCCTCACCTTCCAACCTTGTAGTCAGGCTAGAAAGGTGTATGATTTTTCTCCTAATGTTTCTTTGACTTGAACTGGTTCTTAGGTTTATGGATATCATAGAATTGTGAGATTTGAGAGCTGAGAGGGAATGCAGGGTTCTGTCAGTGTGCAGATGATGGAGCAGCCGGAGGGAGGGCGGGGGGGGGGGCACGCTTCTCTCTTCTCCGACTGTGGAGAAGACATTTCCTTTACATGTCTGTGGTAGGTGCTGCTCTAACAGCCTTGTCTTCTGTTTCTATCATATTTACAACCATTTTGGA